CAACTCAAGTGCTCTTTTGGTCTGCAATAGGACAAAAGCTGCATTGATTCTGAATCTGCTCATCTAGGTGGAATTGGGGCTGTTGTGGGGAAAATTTTAAACACCCACCCACCCAGACACACACACACACACACACACACACACACACACACACAACTCAAGTGCTCTTTTGGTCTGCAATAGGACAAAAGCTGCATTGATTCTGAATCTGCTCATCTAGGTGGAATTGGGGCTGTTGTGGGGCAAATTTAAACACTCACCCACCCAGACACACACACACACACAACCCCACACACACACACAACCCCACACACACACACACACACACACACATGAGACCCTTAGGTTTGGTTGGCCAGTCATCATAAGGTAATATGTTGTTGATTAGGAACCACAAAATATGGATGAGGAAAATGAAAATGATGTTCACCTCTTTCTGATCGAGGAGAGCCAGGGGAAGCTCTGGATCAAGCTCGATATAGCGCTCCGGATCGCTAATGATCTCAGCCTGGTGAAAAAATACAGCAAAAAGGAGAGGGCAGACGGCCAGTGGAAAACGAAAGGTGATGGAGACATCAAAGGAAGCCATCAGTTGGTCTGTGGGTTGTGTTCCTCATCCCTGATGTTACAGAGCAGAAGAACGCGTTGTTGCGATTTCAGGCCGGAAAACTTCCGCTGAAAGTGTGATCGAAAAGCAAAAGAGGGCCACCATCAGCTTCCATTTTTTGCTGTTCTCTACTGAACTGCAATGTTGTTTGTATCTCTGATTTTTCCATGTTTGCATCTTCGCATGAGCTTCATGTGATTTCTATTGATGCACTTTGTGTGATACTCTCACTACTTTGCCAGCTTCTTCTTGAATTTGGCTATGTCGAATAAAGAATCTTCATTCTTATTGAATATTTTGACTGAACCATCTCGCAGAAGAGATCCTAAAATAATTGCTTTACAAAGTTTACATTTATCCGACAAAGATATTTGTATCAGTGGCACCACCATATAAGCAAAAACAAAAGCCGAAGAACAACTTGGCTGGCAATTATCACAACTGAAAATCCAGGAATGCCACAATCAAAGAACTTATTTCCACTAGAACCCAAGCCAAGCCTTTCTAGTACCATCCTCCCCTCGAAGGTGGTGTTTGTCAAACAGGCAACCTGCTCTTGTGCGACTTCACGCAAACAGCAGTCACAGGGCCATTTTCAAACTGAATCTACCAGCATTTCTGATTCTTCTGCCCAATGATTCCTAGTGGAGTCCACTGCCAACCATTCCCCCGGTCGTGCATGAACACCGAACAACATGTCATACATACAGGCTSCACTGCACACACACACACACACACACACACACACACACACACACACACACAAGCACACACGCGCACACACACGCGCACACACACACRCACACACACACACAATCAYACACRCACACACACGCACACACACATGCACAAGCACACACATGCACACACACAGACCATGTTTTTCACACGGTGCGCCATGCATGCAGAGTGCACTGACAGTATGCAGAGGAGAAGAAAGGGGCAGCACATGCGAAGGAGGAGGAGGGGGCACACGCAGAGGAGTAGGCAGAGTCCACTCTTGTATGACTCAGACTAAGAACAGCACCAGTTGTGGTTTGACTGTACCTTCCTGGTGGCTGAGTGGTTCACACATGTAAAAGTTCAAGCGTTGGAAAGATACACTGGCCATTGTTTGGCCTTCCTCACATTTGGTGAGTGGTGGATGGAGGGTCTATCGCCTTGATGGAAACAGCCACAGCGTCCTTGATGAGAGAGAGTGAAGAAACTCTCAGTTGTACTTTCTTGACTGACCCTGGCCAATAATCCAGGTCAGCTACATCAGGAGAGTCTATGGCCTTGATGGAAAAGACTGGCAGTGTGACACAAATGGCCCTTCTGTTCGGAGTGTTAGTCGACTGTGCCTGATGCTATTAGCTGCACGATTCAATCAATTTGTTTGATGGCATGTGCCTGATTAGCTTCACGATCCAATCAATTTTTTCCCGTTCAATGTTCCTGAAAGGATTTCACCTTCCTAGCCTGCCATGGCTTGACCTATTGCTGTTGCTGTTTCAATGTGAACTCAATTGTGTAATCGAGCCTGCCCCCTTCTATCTCAAAGCTGCAAGTGTGTGGCATATTGTGGGGCCCGACCCACCGTATCTACATCATCTATGATTCATGGTGTGTGTGTGTGTGTGTGTGTGTGTGTGTGGCAACTGAAATTCCAAAGTTAAGTTTCATTGAATGCTGTGGCGACTTTGGGGAAGGAGGCAACTTGGTCCTCATGAGCTCGGCAGGGCTTAATTCCGGCTCTGGCAATAGCCCGACTGCTTTCCGCGGAACCGGAAGCAAGGCTGGGCTGCACGTTTGAATAGTGCACCTGCTACTATAAATAGTGTGTCCAAGAATGTACTCGACCTCTTACGGGACGTCCACTCTGCGCTTCGCGGTGGAGGACGTAGGGTCAGTGTAACGATTGGTGGTTCTTGGGGTTGCGGAATGATAAGTTGACATAATTTTCGAGGGTTTTGTTCTGACACACTTGTCGTCACTCGTTTGCTCACTTGGGTGTCTCACTTGAGTGTTACGTGTGGTTGACTTACTCTATGTCTTGACATCTGAGTCCTTACCATGATACTATGATACTACCATGATACAATGGTAAATGTGAGGGTATGGGGAACTAATATGGATGATAAAATAAAGTAAGAAGCTGGTACAAAGAGGGTCTCGGGGTCATAAAGGGAGGTCATCTCTAATCTCTTTAAGAAGAACCAGAAGAAGGGGGAAAGGCTCATCATAGTGCCATTCCAAAAAACTTGAAAAAAGTTGTTGTTGTTGTTGTTTTTTCCTGGTGAATTCTGCTTCAAAATGATAGGAAAAGCCGCGGCATTGAAGGATCAAAAAGTTCAAAAGCCATCCCTAAAAACTAGTAAAACTACTAAAAAGTGTAAAAAAAAAAAGAAAAAAAAAAAAGAAAAGACTGTTACTAATTTCCAAGTTCTCCAACCAAGACTAGAAGGAAGGACTGCTTGCAGGACTTGTTATCTAGCTTCCTTTTTTTTTTCTTTTTTCTTTTTTTTCAGCTTCAATATTTTATGTCACCTACTTCCTGCTTCACCCCTCTTTCTTTGCTGTTTTCCGTTTTGTGTTCCTTTTTTGTGGAAAAGGAAATCTCTTTTTCGTTTCCTCTTTAAAGTTTAAACAGGCGCTCCTGGTCCTGGCTCCGTGCTATTCTGGGGAGCAGTAGTCCGCTCCCTTTCCACCAGCAGCAGTCAGAAACGTTTTGCAAACAAATTTTACAGTAAACTCGACACACGCTGTACCCGTCACGGACAGGGATTGCTCCCGTGAGGACTGACTGTCAGGTACGCCCCCGCTCTTCCATGTTCCTTGTTCTTTCCCTTTCTCCTTTCTAAAGTTTGGTCCTCACTCCACCACTCCACATTCGAATAAGTATGCGCCCTGTACCGCTGTCCAGGTACACTCGAACTGGACGGGAGAAAGAGAGAAAGAGAAATGGGAGAAGAGGAGACTAGTAGGGGGGGAATGTATTTTTTGTTTCCTCTTTAAACAGGCCCTCCTGGTCCTGGCTCCGTGTATGTGCCCTTTACCGTCGTCCAGGTACACTCAAACTGTTTCAACATTTTGAATGTTTCGTTACCATCACCAGCTGAAAATGCGGTACAGTGCAGTCAGGCACTTTTTTTTTTTCTCTTCTTTTCCCTTTCCCGAAAGACCTCCCCCCCCTCCCCTCCCCCTCCTCCCTTTCTCATCTCGTCCCTCCGCTTTTCTTCCAGCTTCACACACCTTAAGTTGGCCTTCAACATGAGCTTGAAACAATGCCTTGGCAACCACCTGCATAAGAAAGAGCGGTGTAATTGTAAACAGAAATGGAAAGAAAGTGACGGCATGAGTGGCATGGAACCCACAAGCAAGCCCAAACACTCAAAACCAGTGTCGCGTTCTCTATGCTCAGGTAGGCGTAGGTTTTTGCGTACGGTAGAAAGCAGGCAGGGGTGGGGCATAGGCACAAACGTGCATGTAGGCTGAAACCTCAATTTCACAAAATCGTGGTTCGATAGGGATGTCAAACATGCCAGTAACAAAACTCTGTTAATTAAAAACCATACTTGCGGCGCACGTCGTGCGCGGCGCAGGCCGCAGCGCGCAAGCGGTGCCCGCACGGCGCGCGGGGCATGGTCGAAATTGCAGGGTACCAAAAAAAAAAAAAATTGTCGGTTCGGTTTTCGGGGTTCGGGGGGGTCCGATGAAAATTACGAAAACGGGCGTGAAAATTTTTTTGGAGGCCGCGCGAAGGCCCGTAATTCTTTTTTTTTTTTAACAGTCTGAACTTCTGTGAAGACTCTTCGTGATTCGAAGTCTGCGGGGGGGGGAAGTCGGTTCTTTAATTTTGTTGTTGGACTATCCCCCCAGCCGGCCGTTGAGGATTCCCTCCCGCCGTCGTGGAACCCCACCGTCGAGGATTCCCTCCCGCTGTCGACCCTTCGTGGAGCCGCGCCATCGCCTTCTTCGACCAGCAGCAGCACGTGCCCACCCCATCGCCTTCGTCGACCAGCAGCAGCAGCACGCAGCGGCGGCAGGCAACGTGAGCAGGGCTTCGAGCAGCGCACAGCAGGTTGGTTCTCTCTCTCTCTCTCTCTCTCTCTCTCTCTCTCTCTCTCTCAGGTAAATCAAGTAGTTTGGAGTCGGGAGTTCCTCCTTCCTCCTCCTCCTCCTCCTCCTCCCCCCTCCCTCCTCCCTCCTCC